TGGAAGCAATTGTTTTTTTTTCATTTTGAATATTCGTTCTTGTTTTAGCTCCTGCAACTGTGAGCAGGACTGCCCAGTCAGCTCTGACCGACTCACTGACAGAACACAAAGTGATGGAGCACGAGGCAGCTGCTCAGACTCACACAGGGGAGTGCCCGACATTAAGGAGATCTTTTAGAGTCATGTAGACAAGCTGAAGAGGAAACAGTCGAAAACAAATCAGGGGTTTCGTACAGTTGGTACCTGTGGACTGTAGGGGAAAAAACAACCCAATTTAATCAGGACTTTTTAAAACTTTGAACAAAAAGGACAAACGCCAAAGAAATATTATTCCAAATTCAAGAACGGCTCAGGTGTTCTTAACATTTTTGGGTTCAGGGACCCAAAAAGGTTAAGATGTTTTATGTTTATTAAATAATTTTCTTAAACTTGTCTCTTTAATGTAATGGAAATATTTGTGTAACATAAATACTTAAGACCTGCTCTTTAATAGATTTCTACCATTTTTACAAAAATACAATTTTTATACTTTTAAACATGGGGTATTTTTCATTCAAGACACACTTAACAAAAAACAAAAAAATTCTTCTTCCAAAAAATTACAATTTTGAGAAAATTAACAGTATCACAAACCACTTTAAAGCTTTATTCACATAAAGAACATAATGTATCGCCACTTCTTCAAATTATTACACAAAACTGAATCATAACAGCAGTAGTCAGACCAAGTAACGGCTTAATTTGTAAATTAATCGATGCCAGAACGCAAATTGGCTGGGGATCCTCCCCACAATTTTTTTTTTTTTTAATAAATTAGATGCGATTTCTGCAATTTTGGTGTATTTTAATGACTTGTTAAACATCTATGTGCTTGTAAAATAAAAAAAATAAAATAAAAAAAACAGTTGCGGACCCCCAAGCACAGGCTCGCGGATGCCCAGGGGTTCGGGGACCCCAGTTTGAGAACCAATGAAATTTGAGTTTGTTACACTTTATAGATTCCAGCTTTAAAAATAAATCCAACAACTTTAAACACATTTTTTTAATACAGCTGCAAAAAAAAAAGCTTTTAATTCATTTATTTTTTACCAATTTGTTCCTGAGCAAATGCCGCAGTTTTAGCAAGAGTTATTTTAATCGACAACCAGCCAAAATACGACCAAACTATTCTTGCTCGTGTCGGTGTGTGTGTTTTGTGTCTGTCGTCTAAACGTCTCATAAACCACTGAACAGATTTTAATGAACCTTTTTCGGATGCACCGCTACAACTCTGTGGAGTCAGCCCAACTCAAGATGGAAATGGCTTTAATGTGAATTTTACAGATATTTTGATTAAATTTGGTGCAAATATTGTATTTTGTTTTGGAGCTTACATAATGCAAGTTTTTTTTCTAATGAATTATTGTTTTTTCACTTCATTGCTTCTTGAATGAACTTTATTTAAAAAGGGACAAAGTACAACTCAAACACAAAAGTCACCATTTGATGTGCTGTACCGGATTATAGCAAAAGCTAATTTGCATCTGCAGTCCCTTGACAAGTTTAAAAAAATAATATACAATGTAATAATAAAATAGTAAATAACTCTACTAATAATATTAATTTTTTTTTTGTAGTAAATAATTACATGAATTGTATTATTTATTTAGTAAATTTCTTATTTTTAAGTTGGGTAATTTAAAAGATACCCCCCTCCACTACCACCATCATCATAAGCAACCACAATTTAAAAACTGTTTACCTGCAACAGTAATAAAATATAGATTTATTAAAAGACCAAGCTTCCTGTCATTACACACATCTTTTCTTTTTGTGCCGGTTTGCTGAAAAACATGGATTATTGTTCAGTTTCATGATCCATATGTGGCCAAGCTTCAGATGTCAGACAATAGATTTCACATTTTGACCTTAATTATTTGGTTTGCAAAGAAATTAGCTGTTAAAAGATCAAAAGCCCACATCATCAGGCTTCCAATGCCATGCTTGACACTTGGTTTCAGGTGTTCGTGCCAAGATCCTGTATTTTTTTTTTTTTTTTACAAATAGTAGCATCATGTATGATCAAAGATTCACTTTTGCAAAGCTGCTCCGTTTTGCACTTTTTAACAAGAGGCTCTCTCCTGGTAATTGTTCCAAAGCAGCCACACTGAACTGTCAGAAACATTAAAGTCTGAAGATGTGGCTCCAATTCCTCCGAACATTGCACAAGTTCCAACTTCAAGCATTCGCTCCTGCAAAGACGAGCAATCCCTTCTGCCTGAATAATCTTCTTCACGGTACAATGCTGGACTCCACAAATTGTTTAGAAACGGTCGCATAACTTTTCCCGCCCAGGTGGGCAGCAACAATTGCACCTCTCGAAGACTGTTGCTTTCTCCTTATCATTCTGGCAACACCTGAATATTTCTGACCAGCAATCTACAAAACATCTGCTTTCTCAGAGATGCTCATAATTCCCTTAAACGTGCAACAAATGCACTGGATATTGCTGGATTTATCAATTAATTAAAAATCCATTACACGTTTGGATTTAAAACACTACATATACCTATTCTTTCCACTCTTCTGAGTCTGAAAGCTTCAGTTGCTATGGATGGATGAACCGAGTGTGTATACAGATTTAACATCTCAAAGGGCAAAGAAAATAAATGAAACCGCTTCGAGATTTGCCTTGCATCTACGGTCAGCTACATGAAAAGCAAAGAGATGTTCACAGGCTGAAGAGGGGAATGAATTTGCACGTGTCGGGATGCAGGCGATAAAACGTTTCCGCCATGATTTAAACAAACAGAGGTGCGAGCGGTCAGCAGCTATCGAGCCTCTTCATAAATGTTTTACCACTCTTTGGGGCATGTCTGCATCAGCGAGACGAGCGCATTCATCTTCGCAAAGACATCCAAGCACTTGCAGCTTGAAGGGAAATCAGTAGGCTACACTGCTGATGAGAAGATACACCACTACACGTGCGTGGCGGGTGTGTGCACGTCACTTCTCGGAGGTCCGAGGCTGTGTTGCGCACACCACCTAGTGGTATTAGGATTGGTATCAGTGCCAAGACGATGACAGAACACTCCCAAGCTCATCACTCACTCAGTCTATAAACAACAGAGTGAAGGAAAACGTCACTTTGGAGTAAAATTGATGATTTGCGCTCTAAGAGAAGAAAAAAAAATGTAAATGCCACGAGCACGAGTGGAAAAACTGATTCGAGTTGAGCCATGAAAAGATGCAGCCAGACAGATGAGATCACAGGATGAGTCGGGATGCTGAATCCGTTGCGGTCCTCCGCCTTTGTGCGTGCAGCTTCGATGAGGCTTTTGACTGACAGGTGGGGACCGTTAATCCCCAGTGCTTTTCCTTCTCATCTCCCTCACGTTCAACGGGGGAGGACATCCTACCAGTTTACCAGTTCAAGAACTGGAAAGGCCGTTTTCGGCATCCTTCATTGCCACGATGATTATCCCAGGGCACTCTTTGTTTCCAGAGTCCCACATGTGAAGCATCGCCATCGAAGGGAGATGAACGGAAGCGCCAGCTGTCAATTTTCAGGATCCCTGCTCTTTGGAAATTAATTTTCCTTCACAACTCAATATTAATCATGAATTTGCACGTGGTCAGTGAAGCATAAAGACACAATTATGTGCTATCTGTGCAACGTTTACTGCAAACGCGCCACAGTCTTGTCGATTAACAAGCTGCCCGTTGCATCACTTTTACCACAGTTGTCTCCTGCTTGTTGCGTTTCCCCCTTTTTCCTCAAGCGATTTGGAAGTGGAGTCTCAACTAGCAGCAAGAATCTTAATTTTCCATTATGCATCAGTCAAACTGAGGAGCCGTGTCCACAAACTGCCACCGCCGAGTGTAGTTAAGCAAATGGACCAGCGTCTGAGCTCTCAATCTTTCACAGGCTTTTTTGTCAAGGGGGGAGGAAAAGAAGCAGTGGCTGCAGATGCACATGCATTCATCTTAGCCCTGAAACGAGCGAAAAGACAAAGCTGAGTGATCAATATTACATGTGGTCGATACATTCCCCTCATTTAGCTTTGGATGTTTTTTAAAAAAATGCAGATTTTTAGTAAGAAAATTAAAACTTCGGAAGAAAAAAAACACACAAGTGTACTGAAAGTAGCAATTTTTTGAGTCTTAAGATACAATTATTTACATGTAACCAGAGACAATAGTTTTAAAACAAGTACAAACTCCCCCCTCCCCCCCACACTTCCTGCAAGTTATTGTCAAACAACTCCAATATTATATAAAATAAAAATATAAGAGTTTACAGGAGAAAAAAGAAGAGTCTACATAATTTAAATGTTCATTAGCGGCTATGTACAGGAGTATTTACATTCTAAAATTTCATTTAGATCAAAAAACTTTGCAAAGTAATTAGCAGTAGACATTCTGTTCACTGCAGCTCTACAAACCAGATTAAACTGTCGTCTACACAGGTATGGCTGTAATTCGGTTCAGTGATCGTACATGTGAGCAGTACACGACAGGTTCAGGTGCATAATCACAGGTAACATGACAACAGAATAAATAAATGGGGAGCAAATGTTCCGATGCAGACATTATGATAAAATGAAGGAAAGCATGTAGCTGCATATGGCTGGACACGTTTTGTCAAATCACACGCAAAAAAATTTTAATGTTTTCCGATTCAAAGATTAAAAAAACTGTGGCTTTTTCTGCTAGAATTAGCAAAAAAATTAGTCACATAAACATCCAGCCTGTGAACTAATCTATTCAGGCCAATTGTACTGAAACAACAGCATTCTGGGTAATGACTGCATTTAGACAAGAGAAAGCCTTAAATTAAATATATTTTTCAAAATCATTTCATTACAAATTAAAAGCACAACAATCATTTGGAAAAATTCAACATGTGGTATACCTGTGACTTTGAAATGCATATACAACTTGAATTAATTAAAATTTAAATAATCCATAGTTAAAATATTAACAAAATATATGATATGGGGAAAAAAAAAAAATCTGCTGTAATTTTTGCCATTCTCATTCTGAGAACAGCCAAACATGGCTGGTGTGTCAAGCTAAAAAATTATTTTTTTGAGGGGTAAAAATAAAATAAAAGTCCTCAAGGACTAAAGAGAAACCCAAAAACATAATGAATCGAAAGCTAAAAATAATTTTTGGGCACAAACATGAAAACCAAAGCTTAAAAATCCTCATTCCCTTAAACATTCAGTCTAACAGCAAACGTAGGTTAATGGATGTCTGCACTCAAAATCGCTTCACACTGGCTTACATATAGACATCATTCTAACATCCATGAAAATGATTGAGTTCCCTGCTGATCAATTATTTCAACCTTGGCTTGGACGTAGATAGGCAGAGATTAAAATGTAATGATCCATAAAATCTGATTCAATGCTTCACACTCCGGCTGCGCAACCAGAAATCACGACTTGACAGTGAACAGGAGTCTCCTCCTCTGTGGCCCGTCGTCAAACCATGATGGAGGTCTGCCTCGAGTCCGTTTCACTTGACAATCCACTGATGATTGAGAAGCTTGTGGGGTTATTCAGCCTAGCCTCTGCGTAATTCTTTTCTGAGGATGAATCGGAAATCTTGAAATGTGTTTTGTTGAGCGACGGAGAATTTGCGTGTTTGTCAGCAAGCAGGGCTTTGGTTCGGGCTAAGCTCCAGAAAACGGGAGTGAAGGTCTTACGAGTTGAAAAACAACGCAACAGTATTTATCTGGGAGACTTCTGAGCAATCAAGTTGTGGAAGTGCAACTCCATTGGCCCCTTGTGGCTCCTGTTGGTTGTGAGAGGGGGACCAGGGTGGTCTGGAATCCCTTTAAATGTGCAGAGTTCACTGTGGTTCACTGTGTGTTAACAGTGCTCCAGGTATTCAATGACCCGTGAGATAGACTTCTGTCCTGTGGTGCCCATTGCACACTGCATGGAGACACAAGAGAAAATAAAGCAAGAGCGTGAGACAGTGCTACCATACACAGCCATGCTCGTTGGGTCTCGAGGCACAGACTGTAAAGATTTTTTTAAGCTTCTACTCAAAGGCCATTTTTATGAAACAGATGGTTGCAGTAATTTCTGACGGGACGAATCACATTTAAAGCTGCGGCACAACGCCCATCTGTGACTGAGACCGTTCGATATTAATCCAACCAATTAGTGTGTTTTTATTCATATTACTACTTGAAATATGCTGCTCCCTGTACAAATCAGAGCAGAATTTAAAACCATACTAAGCTCCATTTTGCATTAAATATCTTCTTGTTCCATATTTTCCTAACGGAGCTCGTTGCTCTCAGACTGCAGGTTTACTCGTTCCTAGGGTTTCTAAAACTGAGCTTTTGGTCATCAGGCTCCTCTCTTGTGGAACCAACTTTCAGTTTCTGTCCTTGAGGCCGACACCCTGTCTACTTACAAGACTGGCCGGAAGTTTTTCCTTATTTATAAATTCTAGTTAGGGTTGGTTTGGGTTTCATAAGCTATTCTTATAAAAACCTTGTTCTGTTCTGTTCTATTCTATGTTAATAAAATTGTCTCCATTGTATGTACCGTATTTTTCAGGCTATAAGTCGCAGTTTTTTTTCATAATTTACATGCCCTGCAACACATACACAAAAACGACTTGTTTATGTTTTTTCCCCATATTTATAAACCAATTTTTGGCTGCGATATGATCGTTTTCATTAATTCGGATATTGAACACTACCATTTTCCGCCGCTAGATGGCACTCTAGTAGTATGGCATGCTGTTGTGTCATGTAATAGGTAAAAGTGGCAATTAATGACACAATCGGCTTGCCATAGTCTGCCACCTTTGTCCAGCTCTGGGATCAGGACTGGAGCAACCATCAAATCAGCTTCATTTCGCTGCAACGCCCCGGCGACATGCAGCTGATTTGACCACTAAAGTGCATTTATTAAGGCAGGGGCATCAAACTCACAAAAGGGGGCCAAAATATTATTTTATTTTTCAAATTAAGGACCAGTTTCAGAATCTACATTAACTCAAGTTAGAAACCCAACATCTGTTCTTGGTTGCAGCTTCCTCAAAAAAAAAAAGTTTGATTGATCTCATTTGATGTTCTCTGTTGCACTTTTGACATCATAATCAAAGATTACTGAAAAAATTCAAGTGAAAAAAGTATTTTACGTTTAACATATCATCTTGGGGGCCAGATAAGATGTCAACGGGGGCCACATTTGGCCCCCAGGCCTCGAGTTTGACACGTGTATAAATTAAAAGTTTGACTGAGACACACTTTGCTATAATTTTGAGCAATCAAATAATCGTTTTTAAGTGTTAAACTTGTTAAATTCTTGTTAAAGCCCTCCCGTGCACGCTCCGGTGGCCGCCATTTGGCAGCCGTTCCATTTTTGGCACAACACCAGCCCACATTTCCAGGTTGTCAGCGGTGACGCGTAACAAACGCGACGCGTCTGCGGTGACACATAATAGATGCGACGTATACGGCGAAGCGACTTATTTATGTTTTTTCCACTTTATTAAACATATTTGAACTGATGCGACTTAGAGCGGTGCGGCGTGTACGATGGAAAATACTGTAACCGTTGTCTGCATTCTGCTATATTCTTACGCTATAGGTTTAGACTGCTGACAACATCCCCTCACTCTGCAGCCGTATTCACTCTCTGTATTCTCCATTTTTGTTAATATAATTATTGTTGTCATTAACCTGTTTTTCTTTGTTTTTCCCATAGAAACTACGGTACTCCTGTGTTTGTGAGCGTTTCCTGTCTGCTTAACCCCTAGATGACCGCTCATCCTGAGCCTGGTTCTACTGGAGGTTTTCTCCTAGTCGCTCCTTCCTACCATCACCAACAGGATGGGGGATTGCAACAAAGTGGTGATTTAATAATAATAATAATAATAATAATGTCATCACAATGTCAGCACTGTATGTTTCCATACAATGGCGAAATTAGTCTCTGCATTTAACCCATCCACCACCAGGTGGTGCAGTGGGCAGCTATTGAAAGAGCCCGGGGGGCATTTTGGGGATGAGGCGTGCTGCCCAGAGACGCCACGTGATGTGCAGTGACTGGGGATTGAACCTGGGACTTTTGGGTCCCAAGCCGGCTGCCCTGCCTCTACACCATTAACACAATCTACTTACTTCCTTAGATCATTTTTACTCATTTCATAATGAACAACATGTGAATTATAAAAAGAACTGAATGGAAAGTAATTGAAACTGAATCTGGATATGAATGGGCTTTATGATGTAGACTTGTTTTTCCCCCTGTTGTTAATTGATATTATCTGCTAGAACGCACAAACCCTTAAGAATAATTGAGTTAGAAGGACATATTGATCACTTTTATTATCCGTCAGTCTTTCATAAATGCAGCAAGTAGCCGTGATCTTATATCGTCTAAGAAGCTACAGAGATATTTTAGTTGAGCAACTAGACAGCCGTTTATTTACATTTGCGTTTGAGATATTTTGTAACCCTCAGTCTTTTAATAGATAAATAAAAAATAAACAACTAAGGATGAATAAAGCTGAAATAATCTGTAACCAAAAGGGTCTTTTTGGGCTCACAAGGAATTGGCTGGTTGGAAATGATTTTTTTGGGATGCAAGCCACAGCATTTTATAAAAATTGTGCTTGTAGGCAAAAAGTTCAAATCAAGTGATTTCTGTTTCTCCTTTTTAATTTCTATAGAACCAAGACCAGCATCATCACTTGAAACCAACTAAATGGGTATATTTGCCTTCATTTAATCCCTTATCAAAATTACCTTTTTCAAGAAAATGAATATGATTTGTTCGTATTACAAGATTCAGTACGCCTTTACAACTTCATCTCAGCGTCAGTATCATCATACAAAACGATTCATTCTGCCAATCGTACTCACAGTGAGGTTCATGAAACTCAAGAACTTCTTCAGCATTTCTGTCATGATAGAGAAATCCCCTTTAGGAAGGTTTTTTCTCACAGTAGTCACATTTATCTGAGGACGACAGAGAAATTGGTGACAAATATAAATATCTTTGGGTAAGAAAATATTCTCAAATCATATTATGGTGTACGTGTTTGGCATATTCTCACCTGGCTGCCCTGACAGAGGCAGCCTAGTAACAGAGCTGTGTAGGAGGCAACAATGCTGTCCTCCATATGCTTGCCCGCATGCTGCAGAGCTACAGCAAACACAAGGGATGAAAAAGAATTGGTGTTAATTATAGTTACCTAATTATCTAATTAAAAAGAGGATTGCAATATACACAGATCCAATCATAAGTGCAAGCTTTTTTAAGTCTCAGTACTCCGGCAGTATACTGTAGTTTTGCTGACTTGAATTATAATTGCTATAATTTACTCATCAACTATAAATTACAGTAAAGCATAAAATATAATTAGGACAGAGCTATGCAATAATAATGGCTCCAAAATTAAGTGTAGTTGTCTAGACTTGAACTTCTTTTATATGCACAACACACACGTGTGTCTACCTTTATTTAGGTCCAGCTCTTCATCCTCTTCCTCCTTCTTTTCAGGTTGGCTGTCGTTGGTTTCAGACGCCACCCACTGGATCTCTCCTGACGTCTCCTGCCACTCTCCACTTTGGTCCTGCGCCGGTTTGGGAGCCTCGCTGATGAGGTCGTCCGTCTTTGCCTCAGCCAAGATGGCAGCGCGCTCCCTCTCGAGGAAGAGCTAGGATGTACCAGAAAAGAACAACAGTTGGAATCTTTGAAAACAAACTGCAATGGAGCTGGTTAATAGTTTGCAGCAATGTTTCACAAAATATAAAGGACATGTAAAAAAATACAGTTACAGAGGACAAGAAACAGATTTGTCAGGTGTACTAAATACTGTCGTAAGTCCTACGCCTTGTATACAGGAAAGCAATTTGTTGGCAGTTTTATAGCAAATTTATTTTCATTTTCAATAAAACAACTTTGTATGAAGTAGTATTTAAAAAGCTGGAGTCAAATATTTGGATTTTTATATTGAATCCAACAAACAAGCATCCATCGACCTACACTTTCTGAATAGTATTCAGTCTGTGAAAAGAACATGACTACATCCTTGTGAATTTATTGACTGAGTACAATGAATGTGGCAGATTATGTTTGTGCAGTGTGGAGAGATTAAAAATAAAGAACATTTCTGACAAAAAAACGGCTTATTAGCCTTTTTTTTCACCTCCTTTGCTTTCATCAGAACAGAAAAAAACATCTTCCCCTCACCATAGCTCAATTCTCTTAAATGATCATTACATGAGAAGACATAAAAACCTCTCCTCTTATTAAGACGAAATAAATGCGTGCAGTGAGTGACAATTGGAAAATAAGTACTTTGTACCTTCACCAGGGCAGCCAAAGCTCCCGAGGACTTCAGGATGTCGGCCCCATCTCCCTGAGCCTCAGCTAACACTGCTGCGGCCTCAGTTTGCGCTTGGTCAGCAGGTTGCATCAGGCTGTCTTCCAAACATGTGTCATCCACGTTGTACTCCATCTCTACCAGACAGTGGCGGTTTCTGGAGCTGTACTCCACAAGGTTAATTAGGAGCCCCAAACCCTGATATACACAACACAACAAACAAGTGAGACACAAAAAGATAAAAACCAGGTTAGTAATAAATTGCATTCATGCTGAATTGTCGTGTTCCTGAAAAGAGCCTTACCAATACTCGCACGTCGAAGCGTTGCTCCTGTGGGATGTAGCGCGGGACACAAAGGACACAATTGAGAGCGGTGACTATTAGCTGCTCCTGCTCACCAGTTTTAGTGCTTCCCCATTCTGCAAACAAATATAAACATTATTGCTGACCTCTGCTTATACCAGTCAACATGATTCCCTGCAGACTCAAATACTTTTGGAAATCCAGACATACTGTACTTTTTGGACTATAAGTCGCATCTTTTTCCATAAATTAGCAACTCCTGGAGCTTCATTTTGCCGTGCCGCCCAGGCAAAATGCAGCTCATTTCAAACGCGACGCATCAGCGGTGACGCAGAATAGGTGCGATTTATTAGGCGAAGCGATGTATTAATGTCGTTTCCCACTTTATTAGACATAATTGGACTGGTGCAACTTCTATGGCGGTGCGACTTTTAAGGTGGAAAGTACGGTATATAAACCAGTCCTTCTCAAATAGTGGGATGCACCCCCCTGGGGGGGCCCGGGGCAATGCCAGGTCGATGCGCCCCGCATGTGACCCTAGAAAACATGCTTTTTTTTTGCTGCAGGGAGTAGTTCCCCCCCCATTCTCATTTTGTCTCATGTGTTCCTAATAATAAAGTTATGAACCAATATGGCTGCCTTGTCGTTTTGGGAGCCATGCATGAACCGTGTCTCTCCCCTCTGCTGCTGACACGATAAATAAACTCCAACCGTAACCTCCTCCGTCCTCCGCTGCTGTTTTTATGTCCATGAGCTCTGGACGTCACTCACAGTTCGCAAGCAACAAAGAGTAAACTCCAGCGAGAGAGACACCTGCCCCCACCTTTCTTCTTTTGTGTTGACAAAATGTTTTAGTTTTATAGATGAGTTTGTCAAAGCACAATTTACAGAAGTAATGTTTAATAAATGTTTGGACTCTGTTCTTTGCTAACAAAATAAATTCACCTCAGTTAAGCTGCTGTTGTTATGATTCTCTGGACGCTTGTCACCCACAGCAGGCGACAAAGAGTAAACTCAAAGTGAGAGGGTTACCTGCTCCCTCTTTCTTCTTTCATGTTGACAATTTTTTGTTGTTCTATCGATGAGTGTGCTCATTGACCCAGACTTCTTTACTTTGATTTTAAAAAATCAGCATAAATTGTTTTATTCATTTTTGTTTTGTAGGTCAAAGTGTTTTATAGAACACTCCTGAGTTAAAAAGTTGCTGATCAATTTGAATTTATTATTATTTATATTTTATTTTTCAGTATCAAATGGCCCAAAATATTTAGTTTAAAAAATGATTTTTTTTTTCAGGCAAATTGAGTTGTTTCTGTTACAGACTAAAAAACAATGTTCATAAATTTATTCTTCCTTGTAAGTTGATCTATATTTTTTTTATTTTATGTTAATAAGGACACAGTGTTAGGCGGAGGTGTACTTATAACAATTTTATAGACATATTATTTACAGTCGCGGTGGAGGTTTTTTTTTTTTTTTTTTTGGGGGGGGGGGGGGGGTTTTTTTTTTTTTTTGGGGGGGGGGGGGGGTGCATAACATAAAATAATTGAGCACTGGCTTAACTGGAGTCAAGAAATTTTAAAATTAGATTAATTTCATGCCAAAAACAAACTACCTAAATTAATTTGAAAACTCAAATATGCAACTTTAAGAGAACGAACCATTGTCGTGGGTAAGGTTGAGCAGCACCCCTATGACAGCCCTCATACAGTCCTCCACAGCCTTCCCCACGTTGCTGAAGCTACAGTGTGGCAGTGTTACACCCGATGACGACAAAGAGCTGTTGTTTAGCGCTCTGCTGTACCTCTGGATCATATCCTCACAGTACCGCAAAGCTCTGGTGATAGTAAGAAAAAGAAACATTTATGAGAGATCATAAAACGCAAAGTGAAACGACACAAGTTGTAAACATTATATGGATGTGAGGACAACTTAGATTAGCTTTATCGGAGTGCTACTCTGTGTACAGACGTCTAGATTAGTTTGGTTCAATTGTAAAAGTAACAGCCAAACTTTTGCAAATAATATTAATAAGTGGGGATTGTCTTATCTACTATTACTGAGCTAACCTGATGGCTATAATCAAAGTAAAGAAAGCTAAAATAAATGGCATAATAGGATGGTGCTTACCTAGCAGAAGAGACAATAAGCTCAGAGTCTTTGTAGGCAATCAGATAACTCTGATTTTCTGGGTTCTGTACTGTCACCTGTTAGCAAAATATCACAGAAACTATATTAGTGAAGGCTACATATTAAAGGAGGCTATAAAAGTAAACATGATACAGAAAATAAAATCAAGGATTTTGCATTAAGTTCAGATATTTAATCAAAAACATTGTTTTAACAGAGATAAAGAGGTTTTTTATTTCAAATTAAGTCTGACAAAGTTAACATCGATATCACAAGTTCAAGTAATCTTGTCCGTGACTGTTTGAAAGGCAGAACCCAACGTTGACAAAATAAAAACTGTACTTACACTTTCAAGCACTCTCAAACACCTTTCAGCGCCCCACAAAGCTGCTACAAGATTATCTTTGTCATCTTCTTGGCTCAGATTCTGCACACACTCTTTCACTGCAGCAACACAAATCCAATTCACAATCCTTTCTTTTTTTTTTTTTTTACAGTTATTAGACAGCTCTAATAGATGCAAAAAGAAAACTGTTTACTTTCAACCTACCTTTGTCTACAATGTGGTCCAGACCTCCAAGTAGCCGTAGTTCTTCTTTGAACCAGTCCCCAGCCCTCTTGGAGGTCAGTGATAATAACGTTTCCATGGCAAGGTGGCCCGCCTACAAAAAAATTTTGAATTCGTAGAATTTGTTAAAATAATATGTCATAGCCAGCAACTTTATCATTTACGCAACAAAAACAGAGCACCTAATGATGAACACTGTCTAGAAATGTTTGCTTGAAGTATTGCATAAATATTATTAAAAAAATACTTTTGCTAATCAATCTACAGAATGTGTGCAGCTCGACAGATTTCCACCAAGTACTTCTCAGAAATTGAGTTTGTACAAGAATAAAACTGGTAATCAAGAACTTCTAACATTTCTATTGAAAAATATTGGAATGCAATAGTCCCTCGCTACTTCACGGACTCGCTCTTTCGCGGTTTTTCAAAGTAAGATTGTATACGAGAAAAAAAATTAAAAATAAAATAAAACTGAACAGAACACATGATTGTCAACTTTAATATTACGTGATTGGGACAGTAAAAAGTTAACGAAAAAATTAAATACTTCAGACAGGCACAGCCATTTTGTAGTTTTCTCTCAATAACGCTCCACTGTATCCCCGTTCATAACAACTACATTTCCCAGAAGCCAACAGTGCCCTGCCCAGAAGCCCCATTGCTTTCTGTTGAAATACTTGAGGAAAAGTTTTGATCTGATCAGAAAAAGTTTGGTCCTTATTCGTACAGGAACTTTGGTGCCCAGCGGATGCAGAGCAGCACGGAACCCACCGGGAACGGGACCAGAACTGGACCTCCAGACTCATCTGTGAATTTGAGAGATGCTAGCCGGCCCAAGAGGACTTCTGAGCGGGGATGCGCCGCCGTAGGTCTGGTGTTCTCTCTGGAGCACACCAGGACTTTTTTTCCCTACAGATTTGGACTTAATCGGATCACCATCTGGTCCCGTGCTAGCTAAACGAAAGTCTGGCTCCCTCCAGAAAGTGTTTTAGTGCTCAAAGGCTGCACAGAGCCGGAGCAGAACTGGCAGGGTAAGTCTGCCAGACCGGAACTGAGCCGCTGTTTCTACAGACCTGGTGAGTAAAATTTTGCAGTACTGTGAAGTTAACATTACCTAGGTTTAAGAGTTTAGAACATTGTGGGCTTCGTCGCTGCAGGGTAGGCCTGCATAAACAGAACCAAGTCAGACCTGAACTGAGTGGAACCGAGGCGCTGCTGTTCTGCAGAGCTGGCGAGTAAACCTTAGTAGCTATATATACGTGTCGTTAAAATGACGTATGTTTAAGAGTTTATAACATTGCAAGAGTGTGGGAAGGGTTTCTAAAACTTTAGTATATATATGAATACTAAAATACATAAAATGTCACTACTTCGCAGATTTTAACTTATTGTGGGTGGGGGGAGGGGTCCTCAACGTAAACCTCGCAATAAACAAGGGACTACTGTAACTCAATAAAAGCATCAGCAGGCATCAGAAAAAAAGAGGTAATTTGTCTTAAAATACATCAGGAGACTAAAAAAGTCTTTGTATTATTATGAGCAACGCACCGTGATGTTTTCTAAGTCCAGATGCTTGTTGTGCACAGTCTCACACAGCTTCCTGATCTTCTCTTTGACCTTTGCCACTTCCTTTTCAGTGAGCTGATCCTGGCTGCCTGAGTAGTCCTGATCCATCTCCAGCAGTTTGATCATTAGCTCCAGGCATGCTCTGTCAAGATCCATGTTAAGACGGTCTCGACTCAGAATGTACATCAGGGCAGCCGTGCACAAAGCGAGGTTCTGAAAAAGCAAGAGATCGGCTGTAATAAATAGCCGCTTAAGTTTAAGCAGCTTTGCAGAATGGTTCGCCTTTAAAAAATTGTGTAAGATTAAAAAAAGCTTTGTTTTAAGAGCAACAGCCTATACAAGTGCAATTATTTTATTTTCCAAGACATTCAGATGTTATAAAGACAACTTTGTTGTGATTTGGCGCTATATAAATAAACTGAATTGAATTAAAACGTGTTAACGTACTCATTTCTTTTTTAATAATAGCACATTTTAGAGAGCACCAAAAACAAAAATGTACAACCAACCAAAACTTTGGAATAAATGCAGCGTTCTGTTTTGTAAAGAACTGTTCAGGTCACACAATCATGTCAAAGTTTAGATGCAAACTAACAACACATCACAGGGGAAAACAGAAGATTTGGGTAATTAATTTTAAAACACCAAGTAAAATAGAATAAAGTTACAGAAAGCATGACATTAGCACTTAAAAATAAAATCAGCACATATTTGTGGTGCTCTGGGAAACCAGAGGGTAGATTTATGAATCTGTTCCTGTGTGCTTAAGATAAAAAATAAAGATGAAAAGATGTTTTGCACTCAGTTCTACAATAAAAAAAAAGAAAACAGGTTGCTATTTTAGACCATAAATAACACAAATATGATTAAGAATTTTCAAGAATATATGTGTAGCTGTTCATAAACCTGTTAGGCCTACCTAAATATTAACTTATTGTGGGGAAAACTGGAAATGATTACATCCGTTTAGCTGATGTTGGGGTACTGAATGTTTGTAAGGAGTTAATGAACTACTGTCCAACTTGGAAACGCAAACAGAAACTAAAAAAAAGATAAAAAGAAACTTTACTAACTGGGTGTTGTGGAGCATCGCTGAGGATTTTGAAGACCTGAGCCACTTTTCCTCGGGCCCGCAGGTGCATCCTGAAACTGGGCATGGCACACCGTGTGGCCAGGCTGATTATACTGAAACATGACGGGAGGAAAAGGTACAATATTAATGTCTTAAAATATATAAACAAGAGAGCTCAATAACACAGAAAGGCTTCATGTTTTTGTGTTAACATAAAAAATAAAATAAAAAAACTTTAGATGTTTTTTTATTTTATACATTTCAGTCATTTGGATTCCGTACCTACAAGGTGGCACAAGTTAAGAAAATAAAATATTTGGACCAGAGTTATAGAGTTCAGCAAGGAGAGGGCACGTCGTGCTTTATCCCACTTACCTAAGGCATCTTGTGTTAAGCGGCTGACTGCTCTTCAGTCCCGTTTCTAGATACTCAAAGTCGTCTGTGAACTCTTGATTTTCCCCAAACTCCACCACGTCGTTGAAGTGCTTCACATGCTGCACCACGGTGTATAGCTGTTAAATGAGGAAGGGGTTAGTTACAGCCGTGCAACAGAAAAGCAACGCACACGTCCAGAGATACGTTGACACGAACATCAATGGAACAACTCTCACTGGGAAATTCCTCTGCAGGTTGCATTACAGATAATAGCTGACTGTGCTAATACACCTCATCAATAACAGCTCAGCATGTGGAGTCAGGCCTGATCAGCAGTTCTTTCTGTATGTTTATCAGTAGCAACCATTATCTATAGAGAGTGCACTCTCCGTGATATAGGAAGGACGACTTGGGTTTGAAATGGCATCAGTGTGGCGACAGCTCATTGTGGCTAGTAATACTATACGTCAGGGGATCTGTGTTTAACGACAGGATCTGAGGCTAGAAGGCCCTTCTGTAAATGACAAGCTGTAGGGGTGTTTAAATGATCAGCAGATGTCCTTATTGCTACTTTCAACTCACAGCGGGGCTCAAATAAACAATAATGAGCTTGACATCCATGAAATGAAAGCCATCCCTTTATTGTATGACCCGCATCAAAAGGGATAAAAGCAAAATGAAAAACAAAATTTATACCAGCATGCAAACAAACAAATACAAAAATATCAAGCAGATAAGTTGCTTTTCACCTGCTGTTACTAAGAAAAAGATAAACATCTCATTGTGCCCTGAACTCACCTCTTTGTCTTCCTTCCTGCATTTTACCGCCGTCACAATATCCTGGTAGGGTCGCGTGGGCATGGTCTCTGATTTGATGACTTTCGGTGGTGGTGGAGGGGCTTTGAAGACGCCATCATCTTTATGGGAGTTGCTATCTTTGGTGTTGCTCGATAACGTGGCCTAGGGAAGTAAATGAGCAGGAAAGTGAGTCTCTCTCACACAAACACACACACACCAAGTCTGTGGCATGTCTACAGAATGTACCACAGATGAACAACTTGTTAAGCACACACATCTGAAAAAAACGTTGCCAACTGACGTCAAATGAAATAAGGCAAAGTAAACAGCAACTTTTATATCCTTGTTGCCAGAATCCACTGTTTCTGTACAAACATTTAGTTCCATGGAATAAATTCTGCAGAATAAACAAGTAAAAAAAACAGGTTAACTTGTCTGGTAAAGTAATTCAAGAAACAATTTAGGGCAACTAAACAAAACCCTTTCATAGTATTTGCCATAATTGTGCAGAATAAGAATGCAAATGATAAATAAATTAACGGTTCCACATATATCCACAGTGACAGACTTCACATGTGAGTAGTGTAGAGAAAGATGCAATAAAGCCAAACACAAAATCTCACCGGAGCAGTAAGAGATCGAGAAAGTGGAGGCGCAGGTATCTCCTCAGGCTCTGGTTGGTTCCAGTGGCGAGCATTGTACACAGCTTTAGACTGGGACTGGAGCACAAGAAGAAGTACAAGTATTTCTTATTTCGACAGAGTGGTATTCTGTGTAATATAATAATAATAATAATAATAATAATAATAATAATGTCATCACAATGTCAGCACTGTATGTTTCCATACAATGGCGAAATTAGTCTCTGCATTTAACCCATCCACCACCGGGTGGTGCAGTGGGCAGCTATTGAAAGCGCCCGGGGGGGCATTTTGGGGATGAGGCGTGCTGCCCAGAGACGCCACGTGATGTGCAGTGACTGGGGATCGAACCTGCGACTTTCGGGTCCCAAGCCGGCTGCCCTGCCTCTACACCATCTCGGCTCCCATAATGTAACTAGTTCCATTTATTCAATCATAGTACCTTTTGTTATCATAGAAAAACACCAAATCCAAACCTCTAAATGCACAAAAAGCCTATAAATATAACTTTCCATTTTATATTTGTAAAAACAATTATTTATTTTACCTAGTACATTTATTTTTAAGTCAGTTACTCCAACAAAACTCATGCTGTTGATAAACTAGGACAACTACAGCCTTAGTGTGTTGCTTAATAGTCTCCATACGGCAGAAAAAATTTCCTGTAAATTGTGACTCAAGTACGTATTACGCAGGCAAAGCAAAAGCTTCTAAACATGTTGGAAGGAGTAAACAGCAGAAATAGGACAGATAAATAACCCAAAGCCACTGCAAAACACGATTCAGATAACATTAATAAAAAGAAAATGTGGGCAGAAAAACATCACAAATTGAAACAGAGTTTTTAGTTCAATATAAGCCTGACCAGAAGGTAACATCTAAATCTCTGCTCACGACACCCACATTTGTGCATGCTTCTAAGCGCACATTTAGTCACTTCATGTGAGACCACAATTACAAGATAATCCCTGGACAACAACATTCAGCCCTCAAGTCCACAAACATCGCTCCAGCCTACATTCCTGCTGACTCATAGAATTATATTACATAAAACAGTCAAAAGTGTTTTATAGTTAGCGTCTCAACTTCCTACTTCCTCTGTATTCCTCCATATTTCTATAAAATTTAAAAATAATTGAGTAGATCTACAGAGTTACAGGTTGTGTCTGCTTCGTTTTATAATTTAACATGTTTTAATAAGTATTTGACAAGTTCAAATTAAACTTGTACATGAGACAAAAAGTTGCGAAAGCAATCAAGAAAACGATAAATAAACAAATAAAATACCTTTTTAGGTCCGCTAAAAATCTTTTTGAATCCACTGCCTGCGTCCTTGGATTTATCACTTGGCTTCCCCGGTCGCCCTTTCTGCCCATCAGTGCTGCCAGGGCTGGAGTCATCTAAAAACTCAAACGCATCTGTAGGGAGCGCATGTTTCAAAGGCTTAATTTAATGAATCAACTTTCATCCCAGATTTGTCTTGTTAACACATTTTCTCACCTGTGTTACTGCTGGTTTGACTGTCCTGAGAGTCACTGGTATGAGGACTGTCCACACTGGAGCTCAGAGAAGCTAAAACTGCAGCCGCCTTTTTGGCCTTTTTCTCTTTGACCTGAGAGCTCTCGTCATCGCTGTCACTCTCACTCAGATCATCAAAGCCAAAATACTTGATCTTGTAGCTACTTTTGCCTGTCGCGACACCCTCTGAACTCTCCTCATCCTCCTCGCCGTCTTTGTCCTCAAAGCCAAAAAACTCCAGCTTAGTCTCAGTCTTAGTCTTTTTTGTTTTCACCTGGGCGGGTCTAAACCTAAAAAAAAAATAATAATAATAAATTTGTTAATTTCTTTCTGTATTATTGATGTGTTTTACTCAAGACTAAAAGAAGGAAACTGAAGCAGGACAACACAACTAAAACTGCATTTACTATAGAACCATAACTCAGTGAATAAAAAGATTTTTCACAGTTTGACAGCAATTAAATATAAATTCAGCACATGATAGATTAAAAACTATTAAAACCAAATGAAACCTGGTGGTCTATAAGCACTGCAAATACTTATATAGAATAGAATAGATAGAATTGGGTGGCTGTGGCTGAGTGGTTAGAGCAGTCGTCCTCCAATGCAAGAGTTGGGGGTTCGATTCCACCAGCAGTCACATGCTGAAGTGTCCATGGGCAAGACACTGAACCCACAGTGCCCCAGTGTGCCTCCCACTGCCTATGATGCGTGTCCCATCAGTGTGTGAATGTGATAAAGCACTGATTATTCTTTGTATTGATATATTAGAGTGCTGTATGAATGGGTAAATGAGGGTACAGATTGTAGTGTAAAGCATTTTGTGTCTTGATAAAATAAAAAAGTGCTATATATAAAATACCTATATATAAAAGCAGTCCAATTACCATTTACCTTTATAGTAATTGCACCTGAGTACAACATAAACTCCAACTAACTGATGTGACCTTAAAACAAAACAACTAAAACATGCAATTATGTGCATCAACACAAATGTTGTTAAATCTACTGCAAGATATTGACTCCTCGAGTCAACACGCTGCGCCACTTCTAAAATAAGAGCAATCCCTTTAAGACAACCTGCAAGACAATTGTTTTCTTTTAAACTGAAAAGTTAACTGTTTGTTATTCTGTATTACAATGCTGCTTTTAAGGCATAAACAAACACAAAAATCCTCACCTCGTAGGTTTGGTTGGCTGTCCATCAGACTTCTTCTTCATTTGACCTGCCTCTCCGAGGTCAGCAGGGGTAGCAGCGGGGACCAGTTCATCAATACTTCGCTCAACTGAATCCTGAATAGTGACATTGCACACAGATACACAGGACGGGTGCAGAACGGTGTAGTCCCGCACTCTCCCACCACCTCTGCCTGCAGGCTTAGCTACTGGTTTAGCACTGGCAGCAGTACTACTTGTGCTAGCAGGAACAAGACTATTGGGCTTATCTTGGGCACTCGTATCAGTGGGTTTGTCGTTGTTGCTTTCAGCGGGCTCTGAATCCATTTTGTAAGGTCGGTTGGGCCGCTGGTATTTCTTGCAGTTTGAGGATCTTAGGGTAAATGGGGAGGGAGGAATGTTGTCTACTGGTTGTGGTGGAGGCTCTGTGGAATGCTCCTGCTCCACACTCTTTACCTCCTCTGACAAAGATCCATCATGAGAAGTAGCTTGGAGGTCTTTGCTGCCTCCCGGTGCATCAGTCAACTGTTTTAAGGTAGGGTCTAAGTTAGAAGAGTAAACAGGTGTCTGGGACACTGAAACGTTTTGGCTTTCAGTAAGGACTGTGTTTGCAAAAGATGTCAGGCTTGAAGGTTTTTGAGTTCCATCTAAAGCACTTTTGTACCACGGCTGGTTGTTTGTAATACTCTCCTCTGATGCCATTTTATCTAAAAAAAACCAAAAAGAGTAAAAATGTGTAAGGTTAGATAAAACCTGACTGAACCTAGTTATCTAGTGGTTGCAACTGAGCAATAAAATAAGATTATACACATGCCATAACTGCAAATGCTGTAACATAAAATAACATTGCAAAGGCCTTTAAGTGTCTGTTTTCTCGTTTACTTACTTGCAAATGTAGCGGTTACACTTGCAGAGCCTTGAGCAGACGAAACAGCAGCAGTCACTCCACTTTGCACTTCAGCAGTTTTTGTTACATTCTTTTCTGCAATGTTAGTTTCGGACACACTGTGGGAGATTAAAGTCTTGGATTCTTCATCACTGTCAAAACCAAATGGGTCTTCTTCATCGTCACTGTCCTCAAGCCTGGGTATTTTGGGAACGTCAGGGTTATCAGGATTTAACAGAGGCCTTTTAGAGCCCACCTGAGCCTTGTAGGTTGTTTCTCCCCATTTGGTAGTCAGAGTGGGCTTTTTATTAGAGAAAACTTCTTCAAATTTTGAATTAGCCTCGCCTCCCTTGCGGTTGTATGTTTTACCAAATCTGGATGTCATGTTGATTGCTGTATGTTACATATTCACTGTGGACAGAAGCAGAGAACCTTTAACATTTCACACAAGCATCAAGTCAACCGTATGATGAACAATTAACAGCTGTGAACATGTCTGATGTTGGCACCGTCAAATTAGGGAACATTTGTCTAGAAATTGTGTAGACTTAAAGCTGTTCTCTTGCACAGAGAACACCAAATGTCTTGGTTGAAAATTAGACGTTTGTAATATGCTCTCAGACTTTCATTTTATTTTAAGAGACAACACTCAAGAGAATGACTGTACATTTTATTTGTAAAATAACTGAATATTTTTAACGTGGCTATTTATTTTCTATTTGTTACTAACTGAGATGTATCGAATACTGTAACTGGCGAGAAAGACGTGTTTTTAAGAGAAAATACATCAACAAATAGAAATGATCACGCAAACAATCACTTGCACGTATTCTTATATCAAGCAAAACTAATTTAATGTGGGTTATCTAGTGGAGTGGATAATAACACAAAGTAATGAACATTAATTTCAATTGTATTACTTATAAAAATGTTAAAGCTACCGTCACACAACACATTTTACAAAACGCAAACTGGTAATTGACTTTGGCAGTCAGCGAATTTGGCAAAGTTGAGTCAACTGATGGTTGATAGCACTCCAAGTTAGCATGGCTAGCTTTAGCTTTCAAGTAAATTATTGATGCCTGGGCGACATGCAAAAGAAACCGGAGAAGTTTGACCAACTTTCATAAAACTTGGGAGTTTATTACATTCCCTACCGTTTGCAGTGAATACAACTTATTTACGTCTGCTAACTCTAGCTTGGCTCGCATGTAAAGTTAACTACTGTGAAGTTAGCCGCTAGCTTCAACACTGCTAACTAGGCTAACGTAAGTCTCTTGTTTACATTTCTAACCTCGCAAGATTTTATGTCGGAAAGATTGCTTTCAAACACTACAGAGTACGTACACGTATAAATTGTATTGTATATAATAATATCTAAAGTTATAATATGCATGTAGGAGTAAAGCAGAGTAGACTGTTACCTTTCAACTCCAGCTAATCGTCCGCTTATTTCCAACCCGGCGAGGCCTGATCAGACACACGCACAAATCAAGCGGGTAAAGTCCGTTCAGGGTAAGAGAAAAGGCACTAGAAGCACATATTTTTCCTAAATATGTCTCAAAAGTAATGCTCGTTACGAAAGAAAGGCGTCCCAAACGAACAAGACGTTACACCTGTCTATTTACAGAAGATAATACGGAGTTTTTGCATTTTTGAGGAGCAACTGACGGCCATTAAAATACCCCCTCCCTCTTCGAGGCTAGGAAAGACTCACGTACTACGCTGTGGCAGCGGAAGTGACCAATCAGCGCGAAGAAAGCTGTCCTGCGCTCTGGGCTCGTGTCAGCATCCTCGTCTCTGATTGGTTCAAATAAAAATCAAAATAAGCGATAGGGGGCGCTCCAGGACTGCTTTTATAACTGGGGCTATGCAACTGTAAACTGTCGGTTTAACAGTATACTCTATAGTAACTTTTAGGGAACTGAGCAAACCATGAGCCTGACCACACACTAAATTTGATTCTAAAGCCTTATTGGTTAAATCAATAAATAAGCATTTTATGTTAGGTCTCCAAAAGTAAGTTGCAGATTTGTCTACTTGTTTACAGTGTCTACTGTGGCCACCTGAAGAAGATGCTGTACTTGTCAACAGCCCATCAGGAGGCCTACACTACATGCACACAAAAATGCATGCAAACACTCACTCCTGAAGTCAGTTGAAATTGCCAATTCATCTATCATGCAGTTGTTTTGCTTGTGAAAGGAAACCAGAGTACCTGGAAGAAGCCCACACCTGCACAGAGAGAACATGCAAACTTCACAGAAAGGCCCGATCAAATCTGAATTAAGACTTTCTTTTTTTTTTTGGAGGCAACAATGCTAATAAATGCACCACAGTTCAGGCTTCTACCTGGTGTTTAGTTTAATAATTTTACTATTTGAGTAGTATTTTAGTGCCAAAATGGTAAAGTAGCCGCCAGGAGAGCAACTCCCAGCAACTTTTGATCTCTTATTGGTCTGAGATAACACAAAAATGAGAAGGAATATCTGTAAAAGCAATGTCTTCCACTAAAACTTTGAACGTGCTTAAGCCCACAAACCTTACCTTCACCTTACAGTGAGTTAGAGCAGGTTTAAAACTCAAAGGTTCTGCGTTATTTCATTAGGCGACAGCACATATTTTTGAATTATTTAATCAAAGATTGTAAAATGATCGGAGATTACTGCACACACACAGAACGTTGGACTCGGTTGTGACGCTTTCCTGTGCATGAAGTCAGGACTGCCAGACTGCCAAAACCAGAGTTCAAAACAGTCAGTCATGCAGGGCCTGGCTGCATTACATCACCACCTCTGGGCCTTGACGTGGACTGACAGTGTCACGCTGAGGCCAACTACATCCAAATGTCAAAACTACGTATGTTTAACACTTGACTGAATACAAGGTTATATTTGTCCAAATGTTGCACAGTGGTGACAGAAAGTGAAGTGATGGAGACGCCTTAGTCTATATGTCACACTGTGATCTGTGACTGTTCTGAAAAATAAAAACATCTCGGAATGAGTTGCTACTTTTGCTGGAGGACAGCTGAAAACCCACAACATAACTAACTCTGCTATATTAAAAGAAAAACGCCTTAAAACATTTTAAATGATGCTCATGAGAATTAAGTATGACATTGTTTCTAAGCAGAGGCCAGATATTTTTGCAGAAGATCTGAAGGAGCTGTTGGTGCGTGTCTGAGTTGAGTCATGGTCATTTCAGTGTTATTTGTGACCACTTTGCCTTGTAGCCACAGAGTTTACTTTTTTATTAAATTTACCTCATACCTCATGGCTGCTAAACTGCTTGCTTTTTGGGTAGGAGTACACTAATAGCACTTAAACAGGTAATTTGATGAGTATTCCACATTTTTTAATACTTTTGTTTTATTACAAATGTAGTACTCCAGATATGTGTTTCACTGTTTGTTTGGTGTAAACCGTGTGCAAACCAGAAAATTGGTCATTTGTGTGTTAAACCTTTGAAATTTTAAAATGCAATCTGTGTTGTCCTGTATAATCTGCTGTAAATGAATTAAAAATTACAAAAAAAAAGATACTTATTTTTTTTTTGTTTGTTTTTATGATCAAAGTAGGCCTTTAACTAGTTGTCCCATTCTTACACTTTTTGTGAATATATGACCTAACTCACCGAGATGAACTTAGACTAATTACTTGCAAAATGCAACTCTGACAGAAAACCAGGAGATGGCAGCAATACTTACCATCGCTCTTTTATACTTTAACTTCATTTTTTAGTCTTAACTTTTTCTCTTGTGTTCGTCTGCAGAAGCTTGTTGATCATCAGTGCCACCTCTTGTATTATTGGGGCTGCAGGTTCAAACCCAGGTTGTGGCAGGAAGGGCATCCAACGTGAAACAACCATAAGGCCGTTCACGCTGATCCTACAGAAGGGAGCAGCTGGATGTACAACTTTTACTGCTACTTTTGTTTCCTAAGTCATTACATTTATCAACTAGGTCAAGGGTCTGAAACTTTTACGATCAAAAGAGCCATATGCCCCTTTGTTCACTAAATGAAGTGTCTGAAGCCACAGCAATCTGGTCCAACTGTGATCCTCAACTGGTGGCCCGTGGACCACTTTAAATTTGTTGGAGGGGTCTTTTCTGGCCAGTAGACTTTATAAAACTAAACATATCAAATGGTTTTTAACATTGTATTTTACAACAAAATAAAAGACTGCATTGTTGTAAAGAAAGAAAAGATAAATATAAATTTTAACAATTTTGTAAAATTTTAAACAATGAACTACTGTATGCAGGTCTATGATTTTATTTTTTACTGTGGAAAAATTAAGTAATTTACTTTGACGAGATAAAGCAGAAAGTGTGTATGGTTTACTCTTTGTATTGTTTTGCTATTCACATATTTGCAAAAAAAAAAAAGAAAGAAAGACAGGAAGACTTAAAAACAACCCTTTTTTTAGTATAACGACCAATAAACTTCAGTTTTATGTTAGTTTTGGTCAAAGCTTGAAAGAGCCGCTATAGATGGACCAAAGAGCCGTTTGTGGCTCCAGAGCCACATGTTGCAGACCCCTGAGGTGCACATTGTGTTATAAAATTGAACCTAAATAAGTCAAATTGTTATCAAATCCAGTAAATTCCATTTGCCATACTGTGGGCCGCTGGCAGCCGATGGAAAACTCTTCTCTATAATAAAACTTTGTTGTGGTGCATAGAAATGGAAAAATGGTGGTAAGGATGCCAATAACCAGAGGTTAACAGAGACACGATCTGCTCTGCAAGTCAAATGTGAAAACTGGGGAGCCAAACCACTGAATCCCCCACCAAAAAATATTCCTGTTTTTTTTTGTTTTGTTTTTTGTTTTACAGCCAAGAGACTTTTCAGAAGCTGAGGTTTGATTTCCTCAACATTCAAAAACGGTACAAAATACATTCAGTCTGAGCCATGTTGGGTAAGGAAAAACTAAATCTTCTGTGTGGTTTTCCATTAACAGAGTTCACATTTATATATATATATATAAAATTAAAAGCAAAATAGTAAAGGAGCATGTATTTTTTCCCTCACCAATCTCTGCAAATCTCATCAGGTCAGCTTGATCATCTCTTTCAAACATTTATGTGGTAAACAAATCTTTCTCACAAACACTGAGTGTGTTTACATAAACCCCACATCTGCAACCACTGCACCGTGGATCAGCTCTTTATTTGGCTCACACTTTTTGTCTGAGGTCAGCCTGCTCAGCCCCTGGCCCAAGAATCACACCAGACCGCGCTATCAAGCCCATATGAAGGCAATAAAAACAAATTCAATCCAGACTTCATTTGGCTTTGAGTCCCCTTTCTGTGTGTGCATTAGCATGAGCCAAAGATACGTGAACTCTGCGCACACGCACGCACAAGGAAAATATTGATACGTAAACTTAGATACAGAACTATGGAAGACTATTTCTATACTTAAAAAGAACTAGAGAAATTGCATTTCTTATGAAAATGCAGTGTGGATGCTTATTGCAGAAGAACTTGCTGAAAAACAGCTGAAATTAGCTAAACAAAAACACGCTGAAAAGTAGCTGAAATTAAAAAAACAAGCCAAATTTAGCAGAAGAAAGCAGAAAGAACACATATTTTCTGAATAAGGATTAAAAAGGTGGAAATTGGCACACAAATTAGGATTTTAGCTGAAAAGAAAAAGCTGAAATTGGCAAAAAATACATGAAAAATGGCAACCGGGGTGAGGGGGGGGTTGTTTGATGGGCAGAAAGAAGCTTAAATTAGCAGAAAAAAAAACTGGAGAGAACCATTTTGCTCAATTAAACTGAAAGCAAAAATCAGCACAAAAAAGTGGAAATTATCTGGAAAAAAAAAAACAACTGAAATTTCTGAAGAACAGCTGAATAGTACAGGTCCTTCTCAAAAAATTAGCATATTGTGATAAAGGTCATTATTTTCCATAATGTAATGATAAAAATGAAACTTTCACATATTTCAGATTCATTGCACACCAACTGAAATATTTCAGGTCTTTAATTGTTTTAATACTGATGATTATGGCATACAGCTCATGAAAAACCCAAAATGCCTGGCCCAAAAAATTAGCATATTTCATCCCACCAATGAAAGACAAGTGTTTTTAATACAAAAAACGCCAACCTTCAAATAATCATGTTCAGTTATGCACTCAATTCTTGGTCGGGAATCCTTTTGCATGAATGACTGCTTCAATGCGGCGTGGCATGGAGGCAATCAGCCTGTGGCACTGCTGAGGTGTAATGGAGGCCCAGGATGCTTCGATAGCGGCCTTAAGCTCATCCAGAGTGTTGGGTCTTGTGTCTCTCAACTTTCTCTTCACAATATCCCACAGGTTCTCTACGGGGTTCAGGTCAGGAGAGTTGGCAGGCCAATTGAGCACAGTAATACCATGGTCAGTAAACCATTTACCAGTGGTTTTGGCACT